CACACAACAATTGGTACATGTTACGTTCTTTTACTCATTCAGAGTAATGGAAATACAATACGATACATGCAATATCTGCGTGAATCTCGCAACTTGTATCTGTCACGTCGGGAACCATTTATTTCAGCACAACACCATTGTTGCCTGCAAAGTAAAATTACAAGGTTTTGTAGTGCTAAGTGAGCACTTGTGTTTCGAATTCATTGATCACAAACTGATGCATATGTGTGAGTCTGTTGAGCTGAGCAGGATTCGATCTGCCAGTTGCGGTAGAGGACATCACAATGTCGTTCTGTGGTGTCGACGGAGGAAGAGATGTCACTGCTGCGGCAGCAAGAAGGGGAGGCATTACTGAATCAACTTCTGGAACCGGTGGTATGTCTGGTAGTTCCTCTGACAGTTCCAGGTTTTCCAGTTTTTGAAGACATTTATTTTGTTTTCCCAGGCATTGGCGAAATATATCCCCTCTCATGGAGATAGTTTTCCTTTCATTACGTGCATTCCAGTTGGTTAAATGGACATACGCATATCCATGAAACAGGTGACAATTTGTGACTGTTACCTTCCAGCCAAATGTGTGTGATCCTCCTCTTAATCTTATGTATAGTCTCATGAATGGTATACAGCTCATTTAAAATAAAATATGAATGCATGTTGTTGATTATTAGATAAATATCGTCCTGAGGTGGCTGAAACGACCACATAACTTTACATTGTGATGTCACCACGGCATTGCTTTAGCCAAACAGCGACGTGAACCAGATATTGTTGTCAATCTATCATAGTTGGAATCAATTTGTATTCGTATTTAAAATAGAAAGAACTCTTCATACTGCTTACAACAAGCTACCAGCATTCAAACGCCATACATCAATCAGTGCCTCAACGTCCAGCAGGAAATCCCAGTTGGGCTAAAGTCTTCATTTCTTCATACTGGCCATTGTGAACACAACTAATCAGCGTTTATCTTTACTTAATATCTGAGCCATTGATTACTGATTATCAGAAGCGGAGATTCCAGGTTACTATTGATCCCCAGCAACATATGTGTTCTGTGAGAGTCAAACACATGGATAGTTTTAGTAGTATTTGTCACGTACGACAATATGGGATCTTGTTCATATCAGTCACAGGTTTGTTTAGTCCAGGCCAGGAAGTGAACCTTTAATCACATTTTATTTCTGGTGTCGATTTCATTTGTAATATGGCGCTCTCTCTGGTCATAGTGAAACCGTTGGATAGGGAAAACCCCCGAAGGTGTTCCGTACAATACCCATGAATTTCAGCATTGGCTTCAAACGTTTCCCGTCACCATGCCCACCATGTGATGTAGTATCCATAACATCATTTTCCATACTGTTTATCATGTCTGCATAGCTGTTCCATATTTTTGCATATGGCAAAAACATATTTTTTTTTCTTCATTTATCTTCTTTTGTGTGCGTGCGTGCGTGTGTGAGAGAGAGAGAGAGAGAGAGAGAGAGAGAGAGAGAGAGAGAGAGATATTTTAATCATTGCACTGAACGGATAAAGGAGAAAACGGTTTGTCAGATGTCGCTTCAGCTCTAGTATAGCTTTTGATATGCCAACATTACATTACGTCAGTGCATGAAATATATAACCTGCTAAGGGCAATGATATTTACTAACAGTATTATTGAACTAAACTGAAAGCTACTTGTTGATATGAGAGGAAAGTGTTACTCCTCTGACATGTAAATAACGTACGCAATGAATTACATCACGATGAAGTATCTCAATTTAAATGTTAGTATGCAACACAACCAAAAAAAACCTTAAGCACAAAGAGGTTTCAGTTTCTGGATAACCGCTAATGGTTAAAGCGTAACCAAGTTGAAAACCTGGGTTCGATTCCCCAGATGGGTAAAACGTGTGAAGCCCATTTCTGGTGTGCCCCGCTGTAATATTGCTAGAATATTACTGAAAGCGGCGTAAACTCCTTACTCACTGGGTCACTCTGTTATCAAGTTGGCATGACTACAAAGAGTCAAAAACTTGAAGAAATTTCTTTTCTTATATTTTTTAATTTTTCATACCATTTTTACAGTTGCACATGAGCTCCAACATGCCAAAATGAATTTGTAAAAGCGTCGATTCTGGAGAAGAAGAAGATTTTTAGTGATTAACTAATTGTATAACGGACTTTAACATAGGTGACATTCTGCATCATGGATTCATTGGAAATACATATAAATAGAGCCAACAAAACAGGAAAAGCAATTTTGCCAAAAGAAATTAAGCTCACATTTTGTTTCGTGACCGACAAAGAATTTGTCGCTGAGTTTTGTTCCCAAAATAGTGTGGTTCCAAAGATACCGATATCGCCTTAGTGTGTTAACTTGAAGTGGAAACATAAGCGCGTGAAACTTCAGATTTATGCTTGGCTTGATATGTATCACGAAACGTGTAGTTAGTGGCAAGCCCAGTAATAGGGTATCGAAATTACCGCTGACTTCAATGATAACATATCACCCCCTTACTACAGGGTCTTTACCGCGAAATAAAATTGTCCCCAGCGAGAATCAATTGTGGATTACATATGCGGGTTCGAACTGCAGCCAGAAGACTGCGCAACACACAGGAAGTCGTTGAAGTGATTGAAGCAGCATTAAAAGAATTATATATCAATTCGTCTGTCCCATGACATCTTTTAAACAGGTTGTTACATGGTGGTACGTGTCAGTCCCAGAATGACTTTACATATGTGAGCAAAGATCCTTCACTTTGCAGGAGGAACTAGAATTATTCTGTAGCAGAGGTGTTGTGAGTATCAACACGAAGATGCTAACGGAAATACATTCCGAGTAGAAAATTACTGTTAGCCTGTTGTTTTCTTCTACGAAAGACCGCAAGGATGAAGTGCACAGTAAATAATCGTTGCAATCGCTTTATGTGTACTTTTATGTAGACGTAATCACTGCTCTCTCTATGTCCAGTATTTACATAGGCATATATGTGAGTGCGTATATACCTGGGCCACCCGCACTAAAGTGATCGTAAGTCACTAAGGTAACCTTGTAATGCTAAAGAAAGACCATAGGTTAGGTAGCCTGCAGTGAGGGTGCAGCCTTTTTCTGTGATGGCTAGCATACTTCCAATACCCCATTGATCGTTGTGGTCATCGATACCACATGCAGGTTCGGTATAGCGGCGATCATGGTATCTTTGAATCCGCACAAAGTTGCAAATTTCATCTGAGTTTTACTGAGAAAATATTTACTGTTTTATTTAACAAAATCAGAATTGAACTTGAGTTATATCATCGAAATCGATATCTAATATCTTTCAAAAACGGCTCCCTTTTACCGAATTACCCACCTGAAATAGAAGTAAAAGAGACCAGTGAATCGGTATCATCTGTTTAATATCTATAAAATGTTTGAAGTTAAAGAGCGACAAAAACTATCAACTAGCTTCAACTTCCCATCAGTCAACACAAAAGGACATCTTAATAGGTCTTTAAACTCCTGGCAAATATACCGAAGGAGAAACATTACAATCTATTGGATATAACACTGCGGACGATTCGACAATGTGCCAGGTTCAAAGATATTAATTTTAACAGGACATCATTGTAATTAATACTATCAAATTATTGGCAATTATTTCGTTTGAAACGGACGTTTGGGCAGAAACGTCTCTTTTTGTTTACATAGTTAGGCGCCCATACGTATTAACTATTGAAACATAAAGGCATATCAAAATCTCAACGAAATTTAGACCGTGTAAAATGTGTAATATATAGTTTGTTAAAGACGAGTACGACCTTGCTCTGATATCTGCAAACAGCTTGAAATTCAGTGCGTTGATGCTGCCAGTAAATAACAATAGCCTAAGGGGTTAGATATTTTATGTAAAAACTGATGCAAGAGTTGAAGCAGCATTTGACAAACCGTCATCTCCTTTCTCATGACAGGTGCAATGACTATATACAAAACACGAAAGCAAAAGGAGTTGTTTGTCTGATGCAAAATATGGCACCTGCAAGAAGGCACAAATATACTTCATGAATTCACGTGAACGATCGATCATAGATACTACCTCACAAGAGTTTGCGAATGATTACGAGGAAGAACGCGTGTTGCATCGTAATGCTTAAATGCAAGGGTATTGTACGATTGTTTCATACAACATCTTCAGGATTATTTCCCCTTGTCCCAGAGACCCTGTATGCGCCGTTGAGACAGATTCATGAAGGAAAGGAAAAGAATGCCACGCAGTTTTTATAATGTTTTGTGCTTGACGGCCCAAGGCTCCCTCCACAATATCCCAGTTCCTATATGACAGCATACAGCACATTATCGAATCTGGACTAGAAAAAGCAGTGAGTGATATTATGATCAACATCCTACACCGTCGCCTACGACGACAGGAAAGCACCCAACCGACCCCTTGGGGTTGCTTCAAAGGTTTATCAGAGGTTTCAGAGGACCAAAAGCACTGAAAATCCATGTATGATTATGTCATTATCAGTTTCAGCTGAGGTACCGAATGACGTAATAGGTTTGGATGCTGGTAGTTTCTAGCTCATGTTGTTGCGCTGTTCAACTGATGTCCAAATGCGTTTAACTCAATTACGTGTTCACTATCCGATGTGGCTGAGGTAAGGGCGATACGACATTTCAGTGTCCAGTTAAGCTGGGGTTTTCCTGGCACATTTGTGGAAAAATCACGTTTCGAGTAAACATGAATACACATGAAACTGCATGCTTTCTTATTTTATTATAAATGATTTATTACAAATTTACTATACATCATACTATACATAAGATAAGGATAACACACTGGTAGGTGACACTCACTGTCACTGTAGATAAGAAGTAGATGACATTTACTCTGTGTCAGTGGTCACTGGGGGACAGGTCCACGTCATCAGTAACATGTCATCAATGGCCTAAAGGTAACCAGGGGAAAATTTTGTCTTCTTATCTGTAGTGAGGTGATTACATTGTCATGTAGCTGACAAGAACCAGAATGGGCAGGCCAGAGATATATGTGTCCAGATAATTATGTTGATTAACGTTTTAAATTGGTCATTGGAATATTTCCTTAATGGCATCAGAAGACCCACCACGTATCTCCTGTCCACTAAGACTACCGTATAACACACTGATTGATACTGCTGTGACCACATTCAATCTCTTAACAACAATTAATCAACCAATTATAACGCAAAATGTTTCCAATGTTCACTCCAGACAAAATAAACACGTCTAACATAATGTATGTCCTTGTGGTCTTCAGTTGAGGCTCAGCTTTGTGAGGACAGCAACAACAGCAAGCATCCATATGTGCACCGATATCTTAGCAGCACCAGATGCTGAAACAAAGTACATTCATGTCAGTGGTTTGCTTGTACCATCTTTACATTGTCATTGATACAGGCAACAATAATCGTGTCCGTAGTTTATGAAATGTAACATGTTTTTATGTAACTTATTCTAAGGCGTTTTGAATATATTTCTCAATAAAGTAATCATGTTCCAAATTATCGACCACACAATGCCAGTCAATTATGAAATCAGATTCAGAAGGAAACAAAACCTTTTTTCACTATCGATTCATTTCGTGTGACGTTTTCTTTAACGGTCGTTGACAAATATTCCTTTACCACTTGAAAATGTGGGGAACCAAAAGAGTTCACGAGATATACCGTCACGGGTACATCTTACTTAGCGACAAATTGTACTAAAGTATAATGCGTGAAATGAAAGTCTTCCCTCTTATTTAACGAGTTTTGAATTGCATAAATTGGAGAGACAATACTGAAATAGAACAAATTTCACATCAACCATATTTCTTTTTCATTCTCTCTATTTATAATTCCATCCAGTTGCAACCTAAGGCACTGGTAGGGGTGATATGCCTCATGCACGCACATGGAACCATAAACAAACTTGTGACAGTGTATTGTGCTCACCATGATCAAAATGATTTCACCTATGAATAAGACATTCTTTGATTCAATGGATTATGTTTAGATGGCTAATGTTGTTATCGCCACTGGCATCTAATGATACCAAGAGAGGGCCTCCCGTTTTCACATCTTTCTCCCACCAAAAAGCAGCTGAAGACATATTTATCTGTTTCAAAGAGTTAATCTTTTCCCCAGAAAGAACACTGAACGTGTATTAAGGTACTTTGTGATTACTGACATCTATTCTTCATATACTTATAGAATAACACAGGAGAAATATTATCTGTAGCCATGTACATAGCTAAATGAAGAAAAAATAGCAGAAGGTCGAATTGTCAATTATGTTGTCAAATGTGTGTTTTGATTAAAATAAGAGAGACGGCATTGAATCACAGCGAATTTCACGTATAAATTGTACTGCAATTTTCCGCTCTTATGCTGGATCTTCATACAATTTCAATGTCTAGGATTGGTAGGATATCTATATATCACGTAGACCGATGAAGCCGTAAACGTTGGAGACGGAAGCAAATCATGTATAGTGTTGTCATTGCTCTTATGTCAGTACGAACAAAAGTTGTTTACTACTCACGCTACACACAAAATGCTGGTGTTTGAAGATGACGATGCTCAAAAGAGGAATATCAGAAGCAGATAATTCATATACTCGCATATGTTACTAACATATGGACTGGACATTGTTCATATACATATTTACCGTCAGCGCATAGGTCCCCTCCAAAGCCCGGAACACAGAAACAGATATGCTGACCAGAGGTGTCAGCCTTACAGGTGCCACCGTTTTCACATGGAGAGGCATCTGTGCACTTTGGAGCTTGAACAAAAAATGGGATGATCAAATAATGTCGAATGCATACAGAAGATGTACTACGTATAGCGGAAGGAAATGGATGAGTGAACTGAACTACTGGATGTGTACAAGACCATAGTTTACCGTCAGCACACAGGTCACTTGCTAAGTCTTTTACTAAGTCTCTTACTCCACAGTTTCGCGATTCCATGCACAGACATTGAGTCAGAGTGAATTTAAGATGTAAATTGTACAGCGACCTTGGCGAGCTAAATACAATGTCATAGTATTATGGGATGATTATGTTAAAAATTATCTTGGTTGTGAGCTCCGTATAGGAATCAGGGCGTTTCAGGGATTGTACTTTGACTTCGTATAGCAATATATAGTGACATCGAAAACAAAACACCATATATTAGAACGACAATGCGTTTTTGTGATTTTGGATTTGCATAAATTGATACAAACCTACTAGCTATTTTCTAAAGTCATAAGGGTAATAACTTCACGTGATTACAGTACACACCAAGTTCACAGGTGTTTCCTCCATAACCTGCGGGACAATCACACACGTACGGCTTGCTGTCTGTCTTGCAAGTTCCACCGTTATCACAATCGTCGTTAACTTGGCAGTGTGGAGCTGAATTGAAATGTAAAACTCTGTAATTACGCTACAACGAGTGTACAAAAAAAAGACACTGAATGTGAAGCTGTAGTATAGCAATCATGATACATTTCATTTTCAAGAACTGGAACCTCGTGTGAAACCTTTACATGTTTTTTTTCTTAATTTGGCTTTCAAAGCATATAATACGGCATATTTGTTTTCGTATTTTATAAAACATATTATTGCTTAATGTTCATGAGTAAATATATTTAATGTAGATTATGTCTGGCGGTTAAGTGGGATTTTTTCAGACATTAATGACATTTACCTATTTTTGTCGAGGCAATTCACGGGTCTGTCTGCGAGCTCAAATGACCCTATGTCAACTGATCATATTCTACGTTTGTTTTGATCTTGCCTGGCCTGTCATGACGCTCGGAAGTGTACACAATGAAACAAAGTAGTATTTCGCACATATTTCGTATAAATCTAACTGTTTGACATGGGAAGAAGTACCCGAACCGCACAGGTCTTCAAGCACGGATATGGAAACTGATCCTTTGGCTGGTGTCCTTGCTAAATGGTTTCAGAATTTGTATGTGCAAAGTTGGCAAAACTTGTAAAATTGTCTAATCTACGTCTCAGATAATATCTTAGGCTATTGTTCTGATAATGATAACAATTTCAAAGTAGTTTCTAATACACTTATAAGAGAGGATGTACACAGTTCACATCTGTTTTTACCGAAGCCACGGGTTTTGCAACTGCAGACAATTGACGTGGTTGAATTGTCATACGTTCCTTCATTTAAAAAACTAAAACGCCTTTAAATAGTCCCCCATTTGCTACTCCTCTGTAGTGAAGATGGTATCAGCCCGTGAGTGACAAGACTGTAATGGCTATGGGTGCCTGGCAAGAGTCTGGCGATGTCCAAGGTTAACCTTGGAATTTACTACTAGAATAAACATGTGCCTTATCGTAAATGTCCAACAACCCTTTCTCTACATATTTTGATGACTAAAGAGATTAATTTGATTAGCATATATGAAACATCAAATTTTACTTATATTCTGAATATACAATCTTCAGCAAAGATATGTCAGCATCAGGTAAGTGTACAACCCTAGCCCTGCACAGCATGGTGTCGGGGGAATGGGGGACGGTGGCATTTTCCAAGCCTGCCTGAAATATGAAACCCTGAATGAAACATTTCCCCCACTCCAAGGCTTGTTTCTATGGAAACGCACCTCCTCTGGACACCTGACTGACACAGTGGGAAATTCAAATCTGGATTTATAAATGAGAAATATATTTTCAAAATGTATGTTTTGTAGACTCTCTACATCCACACAGTTTGCTGTGAGTCTTTATAACATTCTTCTTTATGCTATGACTTAATATCAGCCTGAACTGGTAAGTCAATTTTGTGATATTTCATGGAATGTACTTGAATACTGCATTGCTTTGCATCAAAAGTCAACTTTGACAAGGCAAGGAGGCCACACCCCATCTGTGTATAGGTTTGAACCCCGGCCTTTAACTCTCCGTCAAATTTCTAGAAACAGTTACAGAATATTTTACTACATCGCAGGTGTCGCATGTTCAGCAATTTGTATATTGAGCAAAATGAAAATCTTCCTTTCTACTTAATCAAACAGATTTCAGAGACAATATTGAAACATCACAGATTTCACATCGGTCAACTCTATTTTTATGCTCTTTATTTAAATATCCATCCTGCTGCAACCTATGACATTGGTAAGAGTGATGTGCCTCATGTACGTAATTGAACCATAAACACATTTATGAGTATTGTACTCAGCATGATCTAAATGATTTCACATATGTATGAAACATTCTTTGATTCTATCGTTAGTCACAATATGGCTGAAATACTGCCGCTGTGACTATAAACTTACTCACTCACTCAATTGATTCTATTGATTATGTACACAGTTTAGATACCCGATGCCGTTGTCACAGGAAACTTTCAGAAATATAAAGTTTACTTATGTTAAATAATGCATGACAGCTTGTATATATGCAATAAATCTGCAATAGCAATATAGAATCCTGACTGAAGCATGTTTAACATTCAGTTTTCAGAACCCAAAGCAAGCTCCATAGATCTGATAATATCACATGTATTCCTGACACCAATAATGTTAAACATATTATAAGGATTTGTGTTTTACCAGGTCACATAAATAATGTGAAAACAGAACGCTGTTATTATCGAGATCTATTCTTCATATACTGATAGAGTAACATAGGTGAAATAATACCTGTAGTCAGGTACATTGATACCTGCAAGGAATTGCAGATAACAGAACATCAGTTCGCCTTGCATCAGAGCAAAAAGTAAATTGTGTTTCGGCCATGAAATCTGTGTTTTAAAAGTAAGTCGTTGTCAAGTGAATTCAAAAGTAAATGAAATTACATTTTGGTGCCAGATCCCAGGGGAACAGAGCCTTGGTAATTATTGCCTTGGCAAAGGAGTTTACGTGATACACAGTATATAAACTGGGAAATAACAAATTCGCCACTTCTTCCTATGTTGAACACATATACAATAAGAAAAACTGTATTGAGTCAGAGATCATATACAAAATGATTTCGGTTGTGAGCTCCATAAGGGAATGGGGGCGTTTCAGGAATCGTGCTTTGCATACACGTTGTTTCGCCATGCTTCTCGAGAAAGGGGCGGTTGTGAAGCCTAGTGGTTAAAGCGTCCGCTCGTCACACTGAAGACCCGGGTTCGATTCCCCATATGGGTACAATGTGTGAAGCCCATGTCTGGTGTTCCCCGTCGTAATATTGCTGGGATATTGTTAAAAGCGGTGTGAAACCATGCTCACTCACCCACTCACCCTTCGAGAAAATCAGTGGGTCTTTCTTCTAGCTCACACTGAACTTTATCAACTAACCATAGTATAAGAGACACCGGTTTCTATCTTGCCCGGCCTGTCATTATGCTAGGAAGTGCTGAGTCAGATGTACACACAGCGATGAAAGAAGGTATTACTGGGCACATTTCGTATAAATCTAAATATATACAAAGTGCCAAAACCACATAGGTCTTCAAGCACATGATCCTTTGGCTGATATCCTTGCTAAATGGTTTGTATATTCAAAGTTGGCAAAACGTGTAAAATGTATAAGCTAAACCTTCCAGATAGTATCATAGTATCTCGGGCAATTGTTCTGATAATGATAACTATCTCCGAGTAGTTTCTAATAAATTGACACGAGAGGACGTACCCAGTTCACATCTGTCTCCGCCGAAGCCGGTTTTACAAGTGCAGACAATTGACCCGGTTGCATCCTCACACGATCCTTCATTCTGACAAGGGTTCTTCTTACAGGAAACTTGCAGAAACATAATTATTATGCATGCAAATTCCATTTTTTTTCCAGGATAACATATGGAGACCAAACCCTAAAACTCCAACATAAGTTGAACACTAAGTACCACATGAAGCTAAAAAACATGTAAATGTTCGTCATATTTCTAGAGGCAGTTACAGAATATTTGATAACAGGATATCGTATCGCAGGTTCAACTATTCATATACTCTCTGTTATGGGTTTCGTGAAGTTTCTCTATACAGTTACTACTTGTAACTATTGTGTATGCCGATATTCAAATCAATACAATTATTTTAGCATACACTTGAACGAGTATTATATTGGTATATTATAGGTAGGAATAGTGATTGGCACTTGACTGTCACACAGATGCATGTGTGAACGATGATCACAGGAAAGAAATTCCACCGGTAACAAATATGATGCATTATTGTAAAAATGTCATGAGAGAAAAAAAAGTATTACGGAAGATTTTCACTTGGGGAAGAGATATTTTTTTATTCATACATGTACACATATAGGGTATGCATTTGTAATTATATGCAGTTGTATATTGTATATAAGAGTCATCATCATAATCATGTACTGCAGATTGATGTCTTAAACCTGTCCCACGAAATCATATATGCACACATACAAACAACAGAAATTATCTGATAATGTTAGCATCTTCACAAATGTTTCCTCCCCAACCAGGTGCACATACACATTCAGCTGAACCTTGAAATTCTATTTGCATGTTTGATACCTATATTGAATGCAGTATATGCGCCCAGATGCACACATCAAACTCATTCTATGTATGTGTTAAAGTATAAATACTGACACTATGAGTACATATATTGGATGCACAAATTCTTATACTATACGAATGTAAGCCACACATACAACTTATTTTAAAATAATTACTTTCAGCAAAGATCCATTTAATAAATTAAACAGTAGATCTATTTTTATGCAGACTCATGACGGACGCAAATTAACAAACAGTAGAGAGAGTAATCTGAAAAATGTTACCATGTTCACACTTGTCTCCATCCCAGCCAGCTGCACACGTGCAGACAATTTTGCCGGTGTCATCTTCACACGTTCCTTCATTTAGGCATGGATTGTTGGTGCAGGACACTTAAAAAAACATGCAAAGTTTTGGTGATACATTGAATGCATATTGATAAACTTGACGTTTGTATCCAAATGTTATGATGTCAGCTGATCAGGGATTGTCAAATTCTGTTATTACAAAAGTTTGCTTCCTTTGCTGAAGGCCATATTTCTACAGGATAGTTGATCGTTTCGCGGGGTCAGTTATTTGGACACTGGCTGTTAAGGGTCGCAACAGGGTTTCACCATGATATTTAATACTGAAACAGTAACTACCCGGAGCTTGTAATTCACTTTGCACGTTTAATACTTATATTCAAATATGCCCATGTATGAGTAAATAATATGGATCTACACATTATTGTAGTAAACGATTGTATACAACTTATTTCAAAGTGATTATTTCCGCAAAGATCCAGTTTAGAATGAAACTGTAAGTAATTCATCACAACGTTCCGTCCCATCACGGGTGCAAATTAACAAGCGGAGAGAGAATAATCTGATAATGTTACCATGTTCACACGTGTTTCCATCCCAACCAGGTGCACATGCACAATCAAATGAGTCGCCGACAACTGAACAGGTTCCTCCATTTTTGCATGGATCACCGGTACAGTCAGTACCTATAATGTACATGTTTAAAGATAATTCAAGGCTATCTTGAAAAAATATAGCACATGATAGAAAAATCAACCTTTAGAGTCACAGATGCAGGAGGACAGTCACCCGTAGTCAACATTTACCCTTATTGTTCCGTTGATACGTGGAAGGAAAATGCATTTAATGCATAAGATCAAGATCGCGACAATATTGATGTTGTTTTGCAAAACTTACTTGCTATACAGTGGCTGCCGAACATCACTACAATCGCGATCAACCCTGCAAACATGTATTGGTGTAATATTTTGGTATTCAACTTTTCATGAGCAAACATCATAATAACCTCTACAGATTTAATTTTAACTGCTCGAGCCTAACAAGAGATATTGTAATCATCTGGACAAATGTACACTAAAATAGAGATGGAACATTCTTGACATGACAAGATATATACGGAGGAAACAATTGACACTTCTTCAAAGACATGATAACACACTTGTTAATTCGATGAATGCTTACCCCACATTACACGAGACTTCATACTGACAAACCCAAGCTTCTTGCTGCCAGTGGCTGTTGTGACCATAGCGCCTTCCTTATATGTGAAGTCAAAGTTACACATACTTTAGTACAGCAGATCTAATTGGGAGGAGTGAAAAGGGGAGTGTCTTAGTCATGGCGAATATTGAGTCAATATTTGTCACACCGTGTGTTACATTAGTTACAATTTGTGTTGCTTATATTTTTAACGACATATATCTTGTTTGAAATACGAATGTCAGTTAGTGACGCGAGTTTACTTCTACCTTTATGGACAACTGGTATAGTAGCTAGGCCTGCTACGTGAAGCTATCCTGATGTTTCTCTTTCATCAGATCATAACTTTGATCCATTTCAAGACTCTTGTTTTCCTTTGCAGTATACCAAATATCTACTTAAAAGTATAAATGTGTTACATATGTAGGGACCACGTGATAGTCAAGTCGTTTTAGAATGCATTTGAAAAAGAATATTTTCAACGTAACTACAAGGACACTAATTACCTGGTCATGTGAAACTACTTATATGATTATTGCCAATTATGAATAAATCTCGTATTGCTTTTATATTAAATAGAAGCAGACCAACCCTGAGGGTCGTCATGGTAAGAAACAGAGCATGGACGCATGCACACACACACACACACACGCACACACGCACGCACGCGCACACACACACGCACACACAGATGCACGCACGCACGCAGAGGGAAAAGGGAAACGCAAGGAGTTTCTAACGAGTTCTTGACTGGAACCTCTATGCAATGAACGTCTGTCTATCCACAACACCATTGCTGATTGGCCTTTTCACACTCATGTGAGTACATGTCATCGTCATTGGTATCGCAAGAGACCCTCAGTAAGACGTATTTTAAGACATATTCTCCACAGGAGGTCCCCGTTGTTGAATACGTCACGCACATGGTGCCTAACTGTGATCTGTGCTCGGTTTCCCATGACAAATTTCAACATGAAAACTAAGTACCGAGCAAGTGGTAAAAAACAGGTGGTATAGTTGTCACATACCTTTATCTTTGAAGGTATACTTGTGAACGTGATGAATGTGTTTGTCTCCTCGAACATATTTAAAACCTAAACCTTGTTGAAGCACCTAATGCCTTCTAGGATACAAAAGACATGTTAGGGCCAGTAAGAGGTTTATGAAGGTACAAGTATTTAAGACAAAATACAAGACACAATTGTCGGTGACTATCAATCATGCCACAGCTATATTGGTTCTTTTAACACTCAATAATTGTCAGATAGTTGGCTCAATGATAACGATGTTGAATATTTTATAGGAGGGTTGGAAAAGGATTTGTGCATTGGAACGATTTGGCATGGTTATGTTAAGATTCTACGTTTAAGTGTTAATTCATTTGTGTAGAAGTGTTAATGTTTGAACATGTTTCATTATCTAGATGTATAAAGAGGCATATTTTGATTATTATTGCATATGTGCATGCGTGCGTGCGTGCGTGCGTGCGTGTGTGTATGTATGTATTACTTTGGTTGCAAGAGTGACATTTCGCAGGCGAAGTCCCCACATGGGTACAATGTGTGAAGCCAAATTTCTGGTGACCCCCGCCGTGATATTGCTGGAATATTGCTAAAAGCGGCGTAAAACTCACTCACTCACTCACTACACTGTTACCTTCGTAAATAAATGGACTAGTCTAAATGTACTTATATTTTAATCCAAACACAAAGAGAAGAGATTATGGATAATGACAATGACTTTATTATATATTGTTTATGTTGGAAAAACAATGTTAGGAAGGAAGTAACTCCATTAGGTTAATGAAAACTCAAAAACATTAAAAATCTGTAATCCTGTTTTGATCAAAGTGAACATTGTAAAAAATTAGCATGGAAAATCTCTGATCCTAGTAAGAATATTTCTGTGCATATTTACAAGTTTAAGTCAGTATTTTATGAAACGCTGTTGTGCATTTATATACATTGGGTAACGTCCACATTCACCATAAACAATTACATTTGGCGTTTGGGGACCAGCATTTAAAAACTTCTTACATGCAGTTAAATGTACATTTTCAATCTTACAAAATTTATTAATACCCCATACTTCGGCACGATACAAAAGGATTGGTTGAATTTGGGTATAAAATATTTTGAAAAATACAGAATAGTCAACATTATCTAATTTAAATAAGTGGTGTAGTACTTCTAGAAGTTCCTTTTACCACGAGATGATACATCTAATATACATTTATTGAATTTACAAGAAGATGAAAAAGGAATTCCTCGATACAGTACAACCAGAAATTATTGAGAATTTAAAGATTGTAAACTTTTTATTTTTTTCACTCATTACTCACGTATTAAATGTGAATATTAGCAGAACATAACTCCAGATTCAATGACAGGTGAACAGTTAGTATTTTGTCAAGTCACCATGGGTAGCAATGCAGGCTTCAATGCGGCGGGGCATACTACTGATCAAAGAAGTTAGAAAGTCGTGGTCCATGCTGTCCCAATATCGGACCACCTCTTCTTTCATTTCAGCGACATTTGTCAGATTTTTCTTATTGACACTTTCCTGCATAAGTCCCCAAACATTTTCTATTGGATTTAGGTCAGGGCTATAGCTTGGCCAATCTAATAATGTCATATTTTGGGTCCGAAACCAGGCCTGTGAATGCTTTGAACGATGTTTTGGGTCGTTGTCCTGCTGGAAGATCAAACCATTTCCATAGAACACGTGAGCAGATGGAAGTAAATGTCCCTCGAGAATATATGTGTACCGCTCACTGTTCATATTCCCTTCAAATACACAGAGGGGCGTTGTCCCTAACACAGATATGCCACCCCACACGTTAAATTTCTGACTGTACTTTGGGCGCTGATACAAAGGTTTTTCAGTTTGTTTGGTCCTGAATTTCAGTGTATTAGGAAACAGCCACACAGAACTTTCATCTGAGAAAATCACATTGTCCCAGTTAAAATGTCTATGCTGTAAGCACCAGTTCAACCTTCGCTCCTTTTGTTCAGGTTTCAAGAGCGGTGATGGAATTCCTCGACTTTTCTGCAAACCCATTTCATGCAGCTCAGTTCTAATTGTCTCCTTACAGACAGCCACAGTTCCTCTATCAATCATATCCAGCCTTAAGTTTTCTAAACTCCTTCGTTTGTTTTTAGAAACAAGAATACTAAGCCGCCTCCTGTCACCGACAGTCAATTTTCTGGGCCTACCTGCGCCTCCCTGGTGCTCAATGCCATATCCATTTGCAATATTTTTCAAAACACGATAAACAGTGGACAAAGGGATGCCTGTTCTACTTAAAATTACTTTAGCTGATCTGATGTCCTTGTTATAATACTCTAAAATCAACTTCCTCTTCTCTAAATCATCCATACTGAGGATCACTGAAAATGTCGTCTGCTAGCAAGTAAACAAAGGGGGATAACTCTTCACAAACTAATGAAAACGGATTAACGGAGTTATCTCTCTTGAATGAAACCAAGCACTTGATAGCTGGTCAATCTATCTACTATGGTCAATAATCTACTAGAAATCCAATTAAACATATTCCTAAAATTCTCAATAATTTTTGGTCATACTATATCTATATGAATCAACTGTTAAGACACGTTCACCTTTATAAAACCATTTCTTATTTCTCGCTAAGGGTCCGCCTCTTCTAAAAACAACATTTTAAGTTTTCTCTAGATTAACTGTCAACATTAGTATTCTGATCAAAGTATTTCTGTAAAAATGTGAACACCATCTCGTTAGTGTATGGGACAGGTTCATTATGTCAGTGGGTAAAACTAGGTTGTAATCACAGTCACGCCTGATTGATTTGTCTGACAATTGGGATGTATGACTTTTGGGACGTCTAACGTTTGG